TTAGCTGAACTAATGGAAAAACAAGAGAAGATCCAAATAAATAAAATTACAGGTGAAAAAGGGATATCCCAACAAATACCACTGAAGTAAAATGATCATTAGGAACTATTTTGAGAAATTATATTCCAATAAACTAGAATATCTGGAAGAATATGTGCAAATTTCTAGACACAACCTGCCAAAATTGAACCAAGAGGAAATAAAAAACCTGAACACATCAGTAACAAGCAATTAGATTAAAGCAGTAATGTAAAGTCTCCCACCAAAGAAAAGTCCAGGACTAGATGGATCCATTGCTGAATTTTACTAGACTTTTTAAAGAAGAACTAATACTTTTGTTCCTCAATCTGTACTATAAAATAGTGAAGGAACTCTTCCAGATTTATTCTATGAATCCAATATTATTCTGATAACAAAATCTGAAAAGGACATGCACGCACAAAGAAAACTATAGAACAATATCTTTCATGAATTTAGATGCAATAATCCTTAATAAAATAGTACTGAATTCAGCCACACTTTAAAAAGATCATATACCATGATTCTGTTGATTTCATTCCAAGAATGCAAGGATATGTCAACTTATGCAAGTCAGCAGTGCAGTACATCACATAAGTAAAATCAAGGATAAATACCACATGATCGTCTCAATAGATGCGGAAGAATCCTTTGACACAATGCACATGACAAAAGCTTCAAAGAAAGCTAGGTATAGAAGGATCATAACTTAACATCGTAAAAGCTGCCAGTATGTTTGAAAAATCCATAGTCAAACCACCACACTGAATGGGGAAAAAGTGAAAGCATTTTCTCTAAAATCAGGAACAAAACAAGGATACCCACTCTCTTCACTCCTATTCAATATAATACTTAAACTTTTAGCCAAAGCAATCAAGAAACAGAAGGAAATAATGGGGATACAAACAGGAAGAGAGGAATTAAAAGTATCCTCATTTGTAAACTAGGTAATTCTACATTTATAGGACCCTAAAGACTCTAATCAAACAACCTGAGAAAAGATAAATTCAACAAAGTAACAGGACACAAAATCAACATTCAAAAATCAGTACGTTTTTCTATACACCTAAAATGATCTTTCTAAGACATCAAGAAAATATCTGTCCACAATATCTTAAAAAATAAAATAAATTACCTAGGAATCAGCCTAACCAAGGAGGCGAAAGACATCTACAATAAAAATTCCACAACACTGAAGAATGAAACTTAAGAAGACACTAGAGACTGGAAAGACTTATGTTGATGGATTAGCAGAATTAATATTATTAAGATGGCCCTATTACTCAAATCTACAGATTTAATGTAATCACTATCAAATACTAATGACCTTCTTCACAAAACTACAAAAACCAACCCTAAAATTCATACGGAAGTGCAAAAGACCTCAAATAGCCAAAGCAATCCTGAGCAAAAGAACAGTGCTGGAGGTATTACAATATTCAATTTAAAAATATACTACATAAACATAGTAACAAAACAGTATAGTATTAGACTACAAATAGACATGTAGATCAGTGGAATGGAACAGAGGGCCCAGAAATAAACCCATGAAGTTACAGCCACCTAATTCTCAAAAAAAGTGCCAAAAACACACGTTGGAGGAAAGATAATCTCTAAACAAATGGTCCTGGAAAATGTGGATTCCACATATGCAACACTGAAATTAGATCTCTATCTCTTACTCTGCACAAAAATCAACTCTGTATAATCAAATAGCTTAAGGTAAGATCGAAAATTTTGAAAATACTAGAGGAAAATATAGGAAAAATGCTTCACGATACTGTCATAGGCAAAGATTTTCTGAAAAAGAATTTCAATAGTCCAGGAAATAAGAGCAAGACTCAACAAATGGGATTATAACAAATCAAAAAGCTTTTGTACAACAGAGGAAACAATCAATGAGTGAAGAGACAGATACAGAATGGGAGAAAATCTTTGCCAGCTAAACATCTCACAGGGGGTTAACATAAAAACTCAAAAAAGTCAACAAAATATAACAAATAATGCAGTTGAGAAATGGGCTAAAGAGCTAAACAGATGCTTCTCAAAAGTAGAACTGTGAATGACAGGTAAATATATAAAAACTGCTTAACATCTTTAGCCATCAAAAGCATTAAGATCAAAACTATATTGAGATATTATCATCTCACTCCACTCAGACTATTATTTTTTTTTAAAGGTGAGGATGTGAAGAAAAAAATCATTTATGTACTTTAAAAGTAAAAGTAGAACTACCATATGATCCCACTGCTATACCAGTCCTCGGTATACACACAAAGAAAAAGAAGTCAGCATATAAAAATGCTACCTACATAACCATGTTTATTTTGACAGTAGTCACAGTTGCCAAGATATGGACCCAGCCTAGGCAATCATCAACATATGAATGGATGTGTTAATTATTTTTCTCTCCTTACTGGGACAAAATACTGGACACCCAAAGTTAAAGGGGAAGGGCTTTATTTGGCTTACAGTTTGTAAGGTTCAGTCCGTAATCAGCTGACTCCAGAGCAGGGGTGACAAACAGGCAAGGCAAAGCAGGAACAACATGGTGCACACAAGGCAGTAAAGGTAAGGAGAGCTATCAGCCTCTCCCTGCTCCTTTTATCTTATTCAAACTATTTAGGGCTGGTAGCACTCACCCTCGTAATCCCAGTGCCCTTGAGCCTAGCATTGCATCATGAATCAGTTCCAGCTTTACTCACTCTAGATCCAGCCTGTGACCACATGAGGCTTTTGGGGGACATCTAGACCCAAGCCATAACAATGGATAAAGCAAGGAAAATGTGACAGACTATATATCTGTCACATAATAAATATTGCACACACATAAACAAAGTAGCATGTTTCTACCCTAAAGAATCACAAAATCATGTGATTCTCTGGAAAATAGATGGAACCGGAGCTCATCATGTTAAGTAAAATAAACTAGACACAGAAAGACAAATATGGCATGATATCTTTCATCTGTGAAAACTAAAACAAACACAAAATAACAAGATAACCCCCGCTTTCCCACAAAATATAATAGGGATCTGAAAGTAGAAGAGAGCCTACTAGGGAAGAGGAAGGAGGCAAAGAGTGGAGGGGATAGAAAGGGAAGGCAAGGTAGAGTATTAGGGAGAGTGGGTCCAAACAAGCACGGTATACACTTGTATGGACATGCCACAGAGAGTCCTGCTAATCTGCACAATTGATACGAGTTAATGATTATGATTTTTAAATGACAGTACCATAGATGTTTTATTTGTTTAGTATAAAAAGAAAGTTTAGTAACTGCAGTGGCTTGAAAAGGGTTCTGCCAAAATTCATGTCTGTCTATAACCTCAGGATGTGACCTTATTTAGATGATACAGTGTTTGCAGAAGTAATTAGTTTAAGGATCTCAAGATGAAATCATCCTGGATGTAGGGTGTTTTTATAAGAGAAGATAGAGGGAGGTTTGGGCCCACAGAGACACAGAGAAGACAATTGGAAAACTGAAGCAGAGATTGGAGTAGCGCTTCTATAGCAAACAAGGAGTATGACCAGCCACCCAAATCGGAAAAGACGAAGAAAGTTCTCCCTCAGAGCCTTTGGAAGGAGTGTGATCCTGCCAGCTCCTTGATTTTATACTCATGGCCTTCGGAACTGCCTCAGCATACATTTCTGTTGCTTTAAGCTACCCAAATTATGGTAGCGTAGAAGCTAACAGAGCAACCTTAGGCTGTTCCATAATATTTCTTTTAGCATTTTATTAATCCATTAAACCCAATGGACGTTTATACAAATAAGAAGACACAGAAAATGCATACATATGCAGGAAAGAGTGTGCAGTGTTTTATTCACAACTTACATGTTGCGATGCTAGACAAACATGTTCTGCATGGGGTCCGCAGTCTGGATGTTGGTTCTTATCCTACCCCTTACTCACATTGACTTTGTGTCAGTTTTATTTTTTCTTCAGTCAAGTTTGTCTTTTTGTACATTGAAATGATAGTTTTTATGGGTCTTTTGAACTCAGCCCTTATTGGGAAGCAATTAGAGAGTATTTAAAGAATGGAGGAGAAAAAACATCAGAATGACAGTTTTAAGTAGAAATGCTACACTGTGGGCACAATTTTAAATGCCTACTATGTCTCAATTACTGTATTATATTGAGGCCTATGTAGTTGAAACACAGAGTAACTCACTTTGAATAGGGTGCCCTTTGTTTCTCTGACTACATGGGCTGGAAATCACAATATGATGGTTTAATTAAAAAGTGCTTTATTATCCATTATATATTAGTAGGGTCTGAATTCTTTGATAGGAAGAGGTATTTGCACATATGCCCACCGGCATACTGCCCCTAAAATACTAAAAGTGGAATATGGAGCCAATGTGAGTTGGAGTCCCATTTGGGCACTTGTCTTTGAGAGAGCCTCTGAAGTCTGGCAGAGTATTTTCATTCTCGAAGAGTCAGCTCCTTTACCTGGATGTTTCATGTCTCTAGGTCGCAGGTCACTAGATACGGAATGGTATTGCAAGATCATTTACTACCATCATCTCCGTGCAATGAGCAGTTGAGAGCCAGGGACAAAATTAAGAAGTGACTCACATGAGGCAGCACAGTCACTTTCAAAGGCAAGACTCCAACTTCTGTGCCTTGACTTTAGTCTTGGTCTAGATCTCTTTCTACTCTACACTGCCTTGTTACTGTATGTTGTTTTTTATTCTTTTGTCCAAATGGAGATATAAGTCTTTTGTGTTTTGAATCAATCTCTTTTCTCCCTTCTATCTCCTCTCTCCCCTTGGGCAAACTCAAGCTCACACACTTACACCTATCCTCCTTTCTGAACTGTTCAGATGGTGAGTAGTTCAGCTCTGCCGCTTCTGCCTTGCCTAGGGGGAAGCTTGAGCTGAGTTTGGAATTGGGTCCACACTTGTGCTTGGCTGGGGGTTGGGTGGAAGTGAGTGAGGTCATTAGGCTACTGGTGTGGCTGGACACTTCCTTCTTGGTGGTGTGTGAATGACAACCTTTCATGTACATCTTTCAGCTCTTCGTTATCCTCAGAGGTGGAATCGGAGCACACAAGATTGGCGAAGCTTTCTCTGGAGCCTGGGTTGGAAGGCACACCCATAGGGATGTAAGGGAGAAGGGGCGGAAGGAGGTGGAAGCAAGTAAGCACCATAGCTCAGCCAGCACCACGGTAATCAATACTTCGCTCTCACCCTTTGCACTCTTTCTCTTCCCACTTGCTTCCCCTGCCCTCCCCTTCTCTCTGACATTCCCTCTATTTCTCTGCTGGAAGCTGCAAAGAATAAAAGACTACTTTAGTCTTTCGTGAAACCGCCACAGACCTAAAGCCTTGCGGTGCTGTGTTCCCAGCCCCAGCACTGCCGCGTGCTCAGCACCAGGCAGTGGGCAACCCTAAGCCAGCAAAGCGGGAGCAGAGGAGGGGATGGCGGGAGGGGTGGTAGGGAGAGGGAGGGCCTGACAGGGAG